AGGTCATGATCCCAGGGTCCTGGGATCGAGCCCCGCATCGGGCTCCCTGCTTGGCGGGGAGCCTGCTTCTCCCTCTCCCTCTGCCTGCCTCTCTGCCTACTTGTTCTCTCTATCTCTCTGTCAAATAAATAAATAAAATCTTTAAAAAAAAAAAAAGAAATGCTCTTCATAAGAAAGTGAGATAAATTTGATCTAAGTGTAGACAGTCTTAGAGGAAGGGAATGAGGAGGGTAGGCAAGAAGAGGAGTCAGGGAGGGAAAGATGGCAGAGGGCAGCAGAATCGTGGGAAATCCAGACTGGGGCGGGGGGAACACACCACCAGTGACAAATTTATAATGGTGAGGACTTTTTTAAGATTCTATTTATTTATTTGACAGAGAGAGACAGTGAGAGAGGGAACACAAGCAGGGGGAGTGGGAGAGGGAGAAGCAGGCTTCCCGCCGAGCAGGGAGCCCGATGCAGGGCTCGATCCCAGGATCCCGTCTGAGCCAAAGGCAGACGCTTAGCCAACTGAGCCACCCAGGCGCCCCATGGTGAGGACTTTTAAGGATAAGGATATTCAACATTAAATTCTAATCTGTTGATGTTGCTACAGTGGGACCTCCTGGTTTGCACACATGCTTACATGCTGACCTTCAGTGAAAACTGGATTCGTTCACTGTATTAGTCAGGATAATTAATAATAGCTGCTGTAGGGCACCTGGGTGGCTCAGTCGGTTAAGCGACTGCCTTCAGCTCGGGTCATGATCCTGGAGTCCCGAGATCGAGTCCCGCATCGGGCTCCCTGCTCGGCGGGGAGTCTGCTTCTCCCTCTGATCCTCCTCCCTCTCATGCTCTCTGTCTCTCATTCTCTCTCTCACAAATAAATAAATAAAATCAAAAAAAAAAATAATAGCTGCTGTAACAAGCAACCTTTAAACATCTCAAGGGCTTAATGCAATCAAGTTGTTTGATGGAAGTCTCCTTGTAGCATTTCTCCAAGCAGTAGCTCAGAGAAGTTGGCCCCTTTCTAGTTCCATATGAGACACTCCCATCTTATTTACAGATGTGATCTCCAAGGTCATCACAGACTGAAAGAGCTCAGAAGATCAAGCAGGAGGTCTTGTGGTTACCCACATCCCACTGGCCAAGACCCAGGCGCATGCCCCAACCTAACTGCAAGGGAAGCTGGGAAATGTGTTCTCAATTAGGAGTGCTCAGGAAGAGGAAAACAACACATAGCACTGGTGTTACCATATGTGTTGAGTTAAGAATGTTTGGAAGAGGAACTAAATGGGAAGCAGGCCTGGGTGTACATTTGGATTGACAGAACAGTGTGAAAAAATCAGCAAAAGCAACAAATCAGCAGAAGAGGTAACCAGGGGAAACACCATCCCCTCAAGAGTAATCATCAGTATTTTAGAGTTTCTGGATTCTTCACTGTGTGGGGGATACTTCCTCAAATTTCACATGGCTTTTCCTCTCATCCTTCAGGTCTCTCTGCTCAAATATTACCTCTTCAGTGAGATCTCTCCTGACCACCTGCTTTCAAATATCCACCACTCCATCACTCTGTATCTTGTTTGATTTTCCTAAAATCACACTACATAGCTATGTTTGTCTATTCTCTATCTCCCTCAGGAGTAAGATTCTGTAAGGAGTAAGAAAGACCACATCTTTCTTCTACCCTAGCATTTGGAACAGTGTGTGGCACTGAGTAAACCATCAAGAGAATGAAACAAGTGAATGAAAAATAAATGCATCAATCAATTCGAGCCCAACATTCTTCATAGAGTTAGGACCCAGTAATGTTTATTGAATGCATGAGGGAACCCAGGACAAGCATTCAGATGGCCTTATGGGACCTGGTGGCAGAGGTAGGGTAAGCCCTGGCTTTTGGGGAGACAATCCACCCCAACCTGAAACCTATAACTACACAAGCCCACCTGACCCAACTCAACTCACACCAGCCCTCCATCACTCCTAACTCAACTCCATTCGGCGATGTCCATCAACTGATGAATGGATAAACAAAATGTGATATATCCAGACAATGGAATATGATTCAACAATAAACAGGAATGAAGTACTGATACACGCTGCAACATGAACCTTGATCCATTATGCTAAATGAGAGCAGACAGATCCAAAGGACCACATATTATTTGATTCTATTTATATGAAATGTCCAGAATAGGCAAATCCATAGAGACAGAAAGATTAGTGGTTGCCTACCACTGAGAGGTTTGGGGAAATGGAAAGTGACAGCTAATGGATATGGGTTTTTGTTTTGAGGTGATGAAATGTTCTAAAATTGATTGTGGTGATGTTGCACAAGTCTGTGAATATACTGAAAACCATTTAATTGTATACTTTAAATGGGTGAATTATATGGTAAGTGAATTACATCTCAATAAATCTATTTAAAAGAAAACCTCAACCCACCATCTAACCCCCAACTCAAGCTACCTCAAACCCAACTCTCATCTTAACTGGTGCCATCTTGACTTACCAAACTGCCAATCCCCCCTCCCCATTCACAGCAACCCCTACTTACCTCTACTCCGTTCATCCTACTTCCCAAATCAACCCTCATTCATGTCAATCCAACAACTAATTCCAAACCCTGACCTCAATCCACTGATTGCCCAACCTCCAACTCAGCGGACCCATCATTAATCCACAACCTTAAACTCATTCAACTCATTCAAACCAACCTCTAGACTCATCTTCAATCCATTTTCAACGTAACTCACCCAATACCTACCCCCAATATCCAGCTCACCTCAAGGCTCCACTTCTAACTCAATTCTCTCTACCCCCAACTCATCTTCTGAACCACCACCCACAAGTTTCACCTCTAGTCATTTTATCTCAAACCCAAACCACATCCCATGTCACCTCTTGATCCATTCCCTCACCCTCAGCTCAGCCAGTGACTCCAGGACTACACAAGGTCAACATGGAGATCTAGCTATTCTCTCTCCCTCTTCTTCTCCCTCCCTCCCTCCCCTCCTCTTTCTTTTTCAAAGTTTGAGGTCTTCCTAATAGGTTCACAATTTTTTCCAGCTTTATTGACATAGAATTGACATATGATATTGTGTAAGTCTAAGACATACAACCTGTTGATTTGATACACTTGTATATTGCAAAATGATTACTACTATAGCATTAGCTAACACCTGCATCACATCACATAATTACCATTTCTTTTTTTATGGCAAAAACATTTAAGATCTCTCTTAGAGATCTGGCAATTTTCAACTTTTCTTCTAGGGGCCTGAATTGGTAAACAGACCCAACGTCTTCAGTGAGTACCATTAGAACTGGATGCCCCCACCTCCCAAAGCCACCTCTACCAAAAGACACAATTAAGATGGGTGGGGGCAGATACCTCAGGTGAGACAAGAGCCTGACCTTAAGAAAGATATAGCCAGCACTAGATGAAAGACACAGGAACACAGTTCACTGGTTTATTCTCAGACTTGAGATGCCAAATATGCCCTATGGCCCTGGAGGAGTGGGGATCATGCTAGAATCTCTCTCATCATATCCCAGCCTTCCCTAAGGAGGAAGCAGATTAAATATACAACAGAGGGGATTTTCCCTTTTAATCCAGACCCAGGTATAAATAGGGCAGCACCATTAGGATCCTGATTCACCCCCACCATCTTGGCCCCCATCCCACCTGGCATGGCAAGGTGCGTTTGGGGAGATATGGGTGGGGGGCAGTATTCAGAGCTGGGCTGAGGCAGCAGAAGGAACACACAGCTCAGTCCAGGGAAGTCCCACTTCCCTCTGTAGTCTGACTTCAGTTCCTTCACTGTGAACCCACCTGAAAATAGGAATGAGTGAAGGGGTCCCAGCCTGGGATCAGGAGACATCCAGTGCTTAACTATTGGAAAGGGTAGCACCACAGGGTGTTGAGAGCACTGCCCAGGGAGTGGGGGGGGCAGGTGTGGGGGGGCATTCATCAGCTCTGAGTTAGAAGTTCATTGCATGGGGCATCAGGGATGGGGAGCTGAGGGTTGGGTGGGCATAGAGGGGAGAAAGAGCCAGACTACAGTATGTCAGCTTCGGTGCAGTGAGGAGGAAGCTGGGCTCTTGGGCCAGGGGTGTGCAGCCCTCCAGCCCCCCGGAATGGAGAAAGAATATTGCTTGACCGTGAGGAGCAGACTCTCCCCTGGCTCCATAGGCACAGGATACGATAAATATGATGGCTTCAAAGCCTCAGCACCAAAAGTGCCCCATCGGGGGCTCCCTCATTGTCCCACCCCGAGACTCTCAGCTGCTAAAGCAGACGGGGCCCAGTTCAAACCCAAACTTCTGGTTCGTCTGGCCAAAGTCAGCAGCCGCCACGTCCCACAGAGGCAGGAAGCCCACCCGGGAAGAGCTCAGCTCCAAGAGGGTCTTTGTCTGTCCCTTCCGGAGCTGACCATGGGAAGACAGAATGGCGAGTTAGTAGGAGGGCAGCCAAGGCCCCTCCCCACCCTGGCCAGCCCCTGCCCCTCCCCTTACCCGGCAGCCATCATAGGGGACAGTGATGGTGGCTGCTGCCGTCTGGTTGAAAGACAGCTCCTCCCCGTTGGCTCCCAGGAAGCGGAGGGAGCGGCTGTGGTCGCCTGCAGCTTCGTCCAGCCAGGCGGCAGAGTTCTGGCAGGAATAGGTGAAGCTCTGGCGGGCCGTGGCGCTCAGCAACTTTAGGAAGGTCATCTGGACCACACTCACCGGGGACCCATCAGCGTCCACATAGGAGAACTGGAAGTGGGACAAAGCAGGAGGTGAGGGTGCCCCAGTCACCCCTACTCTTTCTGAGGAACCTACCTCCCAGGCTGTCCATCCTGCCACCTCTGCCTCGTCCCCTTCTTTGGGTGGCCCCACCAGCCGTCCAGCACCCATGGTTCCCTTGAGAGACCCTAGGCACACGTGGCCACTGAGCACTTGAAATGCACCCAATGAGGTGGAAACTGCTTCAAATGTTAATTGTTTGATTTAAAATTATTTAATTATTTTTGTTTTACTTTATTTAATTCATAACTAATAATTGAGCCTCAGTCCAGTTATCAGAAAACTTAGGTGTGGGACAACTTGAGTATATGTGAATCTACCTTTTCAACTGCAGATTTTATGAAATCTAAGTATGGATCAAGAACTTCCAATGAAATTTAGTACCCAAATTACAACATGCTATAAATGTAAAATATGCATCAGACTCTGCAGAACTCAGAGGGAAGAAATCTAAAATGCCTCAGTAACCTTTATATTGATATGACACTCTTTTAGATGCACTGGGTCAAATAAAATATATTATTAACATATCATGGGCTTGAGATAACTGGCTGGGTAATACATCCCTTCTGGTTTCCTTTTCTTCTCTGTATCATTTCCATGTTCCCCAACTGATATTTTCTGGAATCACCTCCCAGATAAAGTACTTGCAACTGAGTCTTTGTCAAAGGGTCTGTTTTGGGGGAACCCAAACCAAGATACCCCCACATTATATTATAACTTTGTTTCTTTGGTTATTGTCTGCCTGTTTCCTTGGTTATGTTCCTGGTGGAGTATCAGCTTCATGAAGTCAGGAGCTGGGTTTTATTTGCTGCTACCTTTCCGGTGCTTAGCATATACATGTGTGTTACATAAACAAATCCCAAACTGAACCCAAGTTCCCCCCACCCAACAAGGCTGTTCCTCTTCTCATTTACTATCTCAGAATCCCCCCAGGCACCAGCCCACCAACACTCTCCTTCCCGCCCTCCATCTCAGCAATGACTAGGTCCTATTGACTTCCCTCCTAGATGTTCCAAGCCATGCCCTCCTCCCCACCCCCATAGCACCAGCTCCAGCCTGGACTACCTCTTCACTCTCTTGGACCAACATACCAGTCTCCTCCACCCCATCCTCACCAGTCCCAGAGGCACTTTTCTAACAGAGAGATTAGATTTGGGTCCTTCCCTCACTTAAACACATTCCATGGCTCCCTGCTGCTCACAGGTCTTTCTGGGGGAGGTAGGCCTAGCCCTCACCTACCTCCCCCACCTCCTTTCTTTTTTTTTTTTAAAGATTTTATTTATTTATTTGAGAGAGAGAATGAGATAGAGAGAGAGCATGAGAGGGGGGAGGGTCAGAGGGAGAAGCAGAC